GGGTAGGACACTGTAGGTTATCCAAAAAAAAAAAAAAAATGCAGCTTTTCAGGGCATGTATACTGCACAGACTGCACCTAGTCTATACTCACTCCATTGTTTTAGTCCTGAGACCAAAGTAATTCCAGTTTTTCAAAAATTACAGAACTACTTGGAAGAATCAGTGACAATTTCATATTTGTGATAATTTCATACTCATAAATTTTAATAAGAATTAATCATTCTTATTAAACCTAAAGATAGATCTAATTTATCAGACACCTGTCCTATCAGTGTAGTTTAGTCATATCTAAAAAGAACCCACTGAGCTAAAAAACTACTCACATTCTAGAATGTAAGGCAAATATATAAGTCATCGAATTACCCTAACATTTCATTACTGGCTATCTGGCCAAACCAGAGGCACTGCCTAAATCCACCTGGCTTGGCAAAATTATATTCTCCATTTCAATGAAATTATTGAAACTGAAGGTAAGAACTATCCTTGAGATATTATCTAAAATCAACATCGAAATATGTCCTAAACGAACATACACAATTATACCAAACTAGAAAAATGACCAAAATTGATGAGAGACAAGCAGTAAGCCTCTAACTGAGCATTTTTTAAACAAAAAAGGCTGGATTACTTTTGTAGTAGTAGTTAAAAAAAAAATCCTGGTTGTTTTTTACTTAAATAGCCAAATATTTTCTTAAATATTACGTCATCAATCATCATTTGATGGAATATATGGTTTAAAAAGTAACTCTGAGGTAGGAAGGAGGATCCAAAAAAATTATCAAGGCTAATATTGGGTAGGACTCACATATAAGAGGCAAGAAGCCCCCAACAGACTAGCCAACTGTCCACACTAGTTGGTCCCTGAAATCTTGAGCACACTCTATCTCATAGCCTGAGTGAAAAGTTTTACATGACACCCCTGCAGACTGACAAAAAGAATGACTTACTCTGAAGAAAAGGTGTGGTATGGAAAGGCATTTCAGTCTAGAATCATAGCACACTGAATGGCAAAACAAATGAAAAACATCTTGGTCATGGTAGGTGCTTTGGTTCTTCCATTAAATAAGTCATTCCATACAGCACATGTTCTATTGCTTTAAGAACACGTGTTGTTAATCATCCTGAATGACAATCTAAAGTAAGTAATGTAGATTACTGCACTCTTAAAAAGATTTCCCCAAACATGACTTAAGCTAATTGATGAACATTCATTACTACACTTTCAGGTCTGGTCCTGTACTGAATGGTCCCAGACATGCTAGATAGGCTTTGAATATATGTTTTTGTGTCTTGTAGATTACCTCTATTATCCTTACAGGCTGTTATCTGTTTTTACTTACAATAGACAGTAGGCTAACAGTTCCCCATCCTCTCACCCCCACTACACATCCCTTAAGCTCCCACATTACCCACAATCTACTCGTTTCTAAACTACTGTGGGCTTAGAAGCCAGATAGCTTTCCTTGTTAGAAATAACGTGAAATAAATGCCAACAGGTTCTGATTGAAGGTTCAATTGCTCTTCTATGACTAAAGCTTTAAGGTATATGGATTTGGATGTTTGACTACCCCAGGCCTTCTTTGCTTAATGTCTGATTCTCAAATGCATTTTATAATAGGTCAAGGATAAGAGTATAGGCAAAACATTTGGATTAGAAAGAAAACAACTGAAAACCACAAATAGAAGAGAGCAAGACCTCATCTGAGAGGACTCTTATGTCTGAGGCAATGTTCTAGGTACTTTAATCAGGATCATTTAATTCCTGTAATAACCTTAAGAGATAGGTGTTACCTCCATTTTCAGCCAGAAAACCAAAGTTCAGGAGTTAAGTAATTTGCCTAATATAGTAACTGAGAAACCTACTATTAGCAAAGCTCTCTCTCCAAAACCCATGGCCTTTCCACTACATGATATTGCAGCCCAATCTGTATTCTTCATTTAGCTAATTGTTTGGTTTTGTTTTTTTTTTTCCACTTTATTTCTGTTGTTCATTGGAA